TCGAAACCTTGTCATAGAATTCCACAAGGTTTCGAGATGGCTAGATGGAGGGGGTGCAGTGGATGTGGTATACCTGGATTTCAGCAAGGCCTTTGACAGAGTGCCCCATGATATCCTGGTGGAGAAACTGAGGAGTTTTGGGATACACCAAAGCACTGTCCGGTGGATTAGGGCATGGCTGCCTGACCGAAAGCAGAAGGTCACCATTAGTGGGGAATCATCGGGATGGCGGCCAGTGACAAGCGGGGTCCCCCAGGGCTCTGTCCTGGGGCTGATCCTGTTTAATCTTTTCATTAACGACATGGAAGAAAGGGTGAACAGTCTGCTGATCAAATTCGCAGACGACATGAAAACTGGAGCAGTGGCCACAACTGAGGAGCAGGTACTCCAGATCCAAAAGGATCTGGACAGACTATGGAAGTGGGCAGGAGACAACAGAATGGCGTTGAATGTGGATAAGTGCAAGGTCTTGCACTTGGGGCATAGGAATAGCTGTCATAAGTACAGGTTAGGTGACAAGTGGCTGGAGAGCAGCACTTGTGAAAGGGACCTTGGGGTGCTGATTGACTGCAGGCTGAACATGAGTCAGCAGTGTGATGCGGTGGCCAAGGGGGCGAACGCCACCCTGGGTTGCATAGCCAGAAGTGCGGCTTCTAGATCGAGAGAGATATTACTACCACTCTACACGACTCTGGTGTGTCCGTAACTGGAGTATTGTGCTCAGTTTTGGGCCCCTCATTACAGAAAGGATATAGCCAGGTTGGAGTCAGTGCAGTGTAGGGCCACAAGGTTGGTGGTCGGTTTGCAGGGGATGCCATATGAGGCGAGACTGAGGGAACTGGGTCTCTTCAGCCTGGAGAAGAGGAGACTCAGAGGGGATATGTTGGTGACATAAAGGTATGTGAGGGGATGTCACACGGAGGTGGGTAGAGACCTGTTCTCCCCTGCAGAGGAAGGCAGGACGCACTCCAACAGAGCAAAGCTCAGGGAGCCATTTGGATGCCAGGAAGCACTTCCTGACAGTCAGGACCCCGAGGGTGTTGAATGGGCTTCCACAGGAGGCGGTTGAGGCCCCATTGGTGCGGGTGTTCAAGGATAGGCTGGACGTCCACATGGTGGGCATGTCGTGAGCGGAGCCGGCTGGTGCCAGAGGTCAGACTAGACTCGCTCTGTTTTCTATGTTTCTATGTTTCTATTAGTTATTGGGAGGATTAGAAGTGAGCTATGCAAGTAAGTGAATTTTCCCAACCTTGTGCCTTCCAGACACTTTGGACTGCAACACCCAGAATTCCCAGTCAGTGGCCCTGCTGGATGGGAATTCTGGGAATTGTGGTCCAAATGCCCCTGAAGGCCACCAGGTTGGGGAAGACCGCTCTAAGTTGTCCCACAGGGGAATTTCAGAGCCCATGTTGCTGGCTGATTTGCCCATTCACTGTCGGTGTTTGTGTGTTCCGTGTTAAAGAGAAATGCTTCAGCCGTGAAATTAAGATGGATCTAAGGAGCATCAACACTAATTCCATGTGCCTTTTTTTTCTTCCTCAGGTAAAAGCAAGTATCAGGACCTTCACTCCACGTGAGCGGCGGTTCCTGGAAGACAACCGCAAGTTTTCAAAGAAGGTGTGTGCTCTTTGGCCTGGAATTCACCTGTACACAGGGTTACCTGGTAAACCTTGTAACTGTTGGGAAGCGCCTGGTACCCGCCACGTGTTGAACTGCAACTGCAAGTGACCCTGTGCACTGGCCGTGGAAGCTGAGGTTGATGGGAGTTGAAGCCTGGGACATTGGAGCTCAGCAGGCAGTGAAGGCTGGGGTGGGGGGTAAAGGGTCAGACTGGTATCAGAAGATGAAGGTTCAAGTCCTCACTGACCCATGAACGCCAACGAATGACTGTAGACGGATTGCGCACTTGTACCCCTCTCTCACGCCACCTAACTTAATTTCTAGGGACACTGTCAGATTCAGGGGGTGGGACGGGAGAAGCAGGTCTATTGCCTTGAGAGCTGTGACTCCTTGAATTTCCCGGGAGTAGCAGGGCCTTGCACCTGATTCCACATGTTCCTCTTCATGATCACCTTGTTCCTGAAGCCTTTGGAGCAACTAGTTAACTAAGGCTAAATATGGACCAAAGAAATAATGGGAATTTTCTCCCAGGTTCCCTTGTATCGGTTTTGGGTTGGGGCACGGCCTTCATGAAGTGCCAGCTACGTAAATGCCAGTGTTCTGAGAACAAGCATGGGGCGCTGTTGCAGGTGTTGGCCTGGGGGCCCAGGAGATCAGGGCTCTAGTCCTCATGCACACATGAACTTCCCTGGGTGACTTTGGGTCAGTCACTCCCTCCCAGACTAGCCCACCTCAGGGGGTGGCTGTTACGAGGATCAAATGGAGTGGAAGAGGCCTTCGTAAGCCACCTCGGGTGCTTCTCAAGAAGAAGAAAGGCGAGATACAAATGCAGTGCAATAGCAATAATATATCCAGCATAAATCATAGGAGGGTGTTCTGAAAGGAGTTTCTTAAAGCCCTTAGATGCAGGATGCTGGGCTACCCCATTGGACGTTCCCCCTTCGCCTTTTCTCTTCGCATCCCAGGATTTATGTGCACAAGCAACAGCACTGGGGAGTTTCTAGATTCTGGGTTGTGCGAAGCAGTGACTGGGGAAGTCTGTTCTGATCAGTGCTGGGATGCTGAGCGCCAGATTCCTGGATCAAACTTTGTAACAACATTTTATTGATGGAATAGTTTGATCAATAACCTTCACCTTCCCCTCCAGGGGGGAAAAATGCACCAAATCTTGTTTGTCCACCTTTGGGTGGCCAAAGACTAGCAGGAAGAGCTGCCAATGCATTTTGTATTCTTGCGTGAAACATGCCTACTTTATCAAGGGAGGGCAAGTCCTAGCCAGAAAGAACAGACCAGTATTCAAGAGATTTACATGTTTATGGCTTTGATGCATTTTTTGTCCCCTAATTCCTAAAATACATTGGGAATTTGAGCTTGTTCTTTCCTTTCATTTCTTTTTAAACACATTCTTTGTCTTTATCTGTTCTTCCTTTCCACTGAATGTTCTCCAGATCTTATCAAAAAATGTTGATCGCGTGAAAAAAATCACCATGGCAATATGGAACGCAATACAGTTTCTCCGGAGCTGTTTTCTCTGGGAGTCCCCCGTAAGGAGTGTGATTGCTTTTGTGGTGAGTAGATTTCTTCACACACATAATTAGATGTATGTTCATGAGTCTCTTTTACGGTTAGATAACTAGTGAAATGTCCCCCGTTGTGACGGGCCCCTACATGTGTTCCTGGAGAAAGGTTTGCATACTGTACCACTAGCCCTCTGTGTCTGGGCAGAAGGCCAAATCCTGAGAAGGGCCACATTTCACACCCATTTGGCTGTTGCCCAGTTCTCAGCCCCTCTGCTCTGTCTCAGAGAATATCAGTGGATACCACTGAGAACGAAAACAATTTTCATCTCTGTATCCGTGTCCCTTTTAATTTGATTACACTTTTATATCGTGCTTTTCCAGTTCCAAAATGGAACAACCCAAGGCAGCTTACATAATTAAAAACCAATGAAGCAACAGCACAATTATAATCAACGTTTACAAACGCCCCCCCCCCCAAAAAAAACACAGTGCATAAAAGCAATAAAGGGCCAATAAACAAGGAAGCAACCAGCCTTTCTGCGCATCTCCGTATCCCGGCCCTGCGTTCTCCCTCTCAGTGTGACGCTGGAGCGTGAGAGCTTTGAAGAGGGTGGAAGAGGGAGAAGGTTGGGAATGCCATTTTGCTCCCTCGAAGAGCACACACAGGTGATGAGCCAAAACAGACTCACTGAATCGGGGGGCGGGGGGAGGGTGACTGGCATGCTGTGAAACGGCAACTGGAGGAGGGAAGGCTTCGCTCGGGCTCCTTACTGCTTCTGTTGCCCTTAGAGGAAGCCATGACTAACTGGCTGGAACCCTGACCGTGAGTGCCCTGGGGAGCAGGGCGGATGTGCTGTAACATTTTGTTGCAGTGCAGTTTCTCTTTCATAGGTGATACTGAAGTCCCTTTGCGACTGTTTGCTGCTTGCTTGGTGCTCTGTGGAATTGTGCCCAATAAGTGGCTCATTTATCAGCTTTCCTATAGTAACACATTTTTTTCATCCTCTGTTTTTGAAGCAATTAGCAATTAACTCAGTCTCTGTCTTTGTTTTTAAAAGTTTGAGTTTCCTGGTGATCTTTTAGAAAAGCACATGTGCGTAGACCATATGACTGCAAAGCCGGGTTTGGAATTGTGTGGGCAACATTTGAATATAGGAGGAAGAGTCGGAAAGTGATCCATTGATTGGGGGTGGAGTTTTTCTGCCCCCCCCCCCCCGAATCAGGCACCTGACAATAGGTGCTAAAATTTGCTTTATGGGCCTGGCTTTGAGCTAGGTATCTTTGCCCGGCCAGCATAATTTGAAATGCAAGCAACAGGATCCAACTTCCTTTGATGCAAATCTTGACCTAGATGTTTGATGCCTTCTAAACCGTGTGAATATGGCTGGTGCGAAGCTTCATGAATGGGCTTGCATTGAGAGAACATTTGTCTAACTCAGTATAAATTAAGCTGCTAGAAGAAACAGAGAGGTTCAAGACCAAGCCTGAAGTCCTTGCAGGACTTTAAAAACCTTTTGGCAAATAAAATATTTGCAAATAAAAATCTAGCACGTCAGCCTGAAAAAGACAGTTCTTGTCCCTGCCGTGCTTGTTTTCCATGTGCAGGGATTTATATTTTTATTGTACGGAAGCGTGTTCAGCCATGTGAGCCCCCAGCAGCCTTCTGAAGTGGGTCAGTCCAAGCGCAGATTGCCCCCTCAGTGCGAACTAAGGCTTCCTTGACTTTCAGCGATCTTCATGGAACGACATCAGAGTTGCTACATCATGTCGTGACATAACCTTAAGTGATATCTGCTGGGTTTGGATCAACTGAAGTATAACAGAAACACTGGTAATGTAAAGAAAGAAACTGGTACAGAAGCATCAGCGCACAAGGGGAGAGAACCCATCGTTTGTGCTTGGGCTGTGAACTCTGGGTTGTTTGTAGTTAACAATTCAGAGTGCAGGGTTCATACATAACAACAACCCATGATTCAGTTAGAACCCATGATCAGCAATGGCTTGTTCTCAGCCTGCATTCAACCCATACTTGGCTTGTTTCATGCAATCCAGTGTAACGGAAGTTAAAGGAAGAGCTGAATGTTATTTTAATGATGGGTTTGGGGTTTTTGAGCAGTGCATATTTCTGCCTTATTTCATGCCCTTTCAACCACCTCAAAATGGGAGAATATTCAACGGAACCATCAAGGAGAGCTGCTCACTCACCTTGCTCCAGTTCCAAATTTTGACCTGCCCGGTTTGGGTAGAAAAAACACTTTGGCTTGCTACCAGTTATTCTGGATTTGCCAGGATGAGGTTGCACAGACCTTTCCCATTCTATTGCTTGAGTTTCAGCAAGATCAACTTGCCCCCTTTTTCTTTTCTTGTAAATTCATAGCACTGCTACCCCCGAACAACTCGGGCTGTGCCATTTCTCACAGTGCTTACAAAAAGCAACTCTGCCCTGGTTTTTATTTGTCTCCAGGGATTCTGGCTCTTGCAGCCCAACATGCCTGAAATAATAAGAACAACAATAATCAGAAAGAGAGAGGCTAGCAAGAGCTAGACAGCCAAATGCCTTTTTGTTTTGTTCTGTCAATGTCATTAATAAGGGTGTTCAACGATAGGCTGGACATGCACATGGTGGGCATGTCGTGAGCGGAGCCAGCTGGAGCCGGGGGTCAGACTAGATGGCCTGGGAGTCCCCTTCTGACTCGCTCTGTTTCTATGTTTCTATTCCCAGCCCTTATCTCCACTTCCTACACACATGTGCAGAGTAACTCCTTCACATGTTAGGTTAAGGGTTTGGGTTAGGGTTTGGTTAGCCTCCCCAGGTATGTCTGAAACCCTGCAGAGCAGTCACTGTCAACAGTGTCAGTAATGCTGAGCAAGAGGGCCTGACCTGATGTAAGGCACCTTTCAAACTGCTAGGTGGTGAAAACCAGACCTGGATCCAAAATTCCTTTAGGGGCAGTCTCCAGAGATGTCTTGGTTTTAAATTCCTAAAAGAAGAAAGAAGGAAAACCAGTTCAAGGGCCATTAATCCCTAACTGGCTACTCTCCAGTTGTATTGGACTAGCAACTTCCATCATGCACAACCCGAACTGCTTAGGAATGATTACAACTGTAGTCCAATTGCCCTGGATCAGGGATCCCATGGACATGTTTGGGAAATTTAGCTTTTATTTTGTTTCTATATATATAACATGCAACTGATGGGCAAGTCCATCACTGCATTTTAATCTCAGTGTTTTGAGATTAAAATGCAGTATCTCAGTGGAGGCTCCCCCCAGTATTTAATCTCACTGGGGAGCGCCTCCACACCGCTCAGTACTCATCCTGAATATATGCAGTGGAAGCCAGATGGGGCCAGCACTGATTAGCTAGCTCCTGTGAAGTGCGGCAGAGATACCCTTCTGCAAAACTGGTTTTCCTTTGCCTGTTTGCTTGATAATGAGCAGACATGTAACTTTATTAATTTACATGCAGTGATGTCTGTCTCCAGCCCTGCCCCGCTTTCTTTCTCTAAAGGCAGCAAGCCAGCCTAGAGGATAGAAAAAGCACATGAATGAGATTATGTTCCTTTGCTGGTATATACCCTGGTTCTTTTAGATTTGAAGTTTTGCTGTGATACCTACAACTACAGCGCCCATCATGCTCTGTCTCCATTTGAGATTTGATGCCAACATTTCAGCACTTCCAAGATTAACACAGGGAAAAAATGTGCCAGCAAAAAGTTCTGTCCCACAATGTTTTGCTCTTTCTTGCGAGACTTCAGAGCTGAAGGCAGAAGAGAAACTGCTTAGAAGGGCAAAATAAAGTTTCGCGGCATCTGAAGAACAGGAGATTGTAAAGAGTGGACAGATCTGATGGTTATGTTTTATTTTTAAAGAAGCACACCGTTGGCAAGGTAGTTAAAGAGCTGTTGGAGAAAGCTGGACCGGGCAGGCGAAGAATGGCTGGGGGCAGGAGGGCAATTTTCAGCCTAAGCAGGCACAGGGTGATGTCCTGTATGTGGAAGCCCTCCCTCTCCCTGCTCTGGTTTCCCTGCTTCCCCCCTTAAATTCTCCCCCTTCCAAGTCTCTTCTGCCAAAGTCTTTTTTCCCCACCCCCACCCGCCAGCCACCCACCTGTGAATTGCTGAAGTTGATGTATAGAAATATTTGGCACAGCACTAATTACTTTTTCCTATGAGAGCTGTAATAGGTTAGAGACCTGCCTGCCCGCCCGCCCGCCCGCCCGCCCTCCCTCCCTCCCTCCCTCCCTCCTTCCTTCCTTCCTTCCTTCCTTCCTTCCTTCCTTCCTTCCTTCCTTCCTTCCTTCCTTCCAAGTTGCCCTTTATCAATCTGACTCTTGTGCCATTTGGAATCATGTCTGCGGCCTCAATGAGCCTCCAAAAGGGCCTTTCTGTCTCGATTTGTTTCATCCGGCGGTCTGTTCAATAAGTTGCGCAAACATTTTAGTGAAGGAGGGAAGAAGGGAAGGAAGAGTGTCCAAACCTGCACCCAGCAGATAGAAAAACAGTTCCAGTGGCGTACGCTGCTGTAACCTGTCAAAGAACCGTGCTCAGGTTGCGTTTCCAGCTAACTTCCTCGTGTGTGTGTGTGTGCGCGTGTGCGCGCGCGCTGTTTCTGAAGCTTCAGAGCTTTATCATTTCATTTCTGAGCTGTCATTTTTATGGCTCTCCCTGGCTGCTCCTTTTTTGGACTCCCTCAGATGGTGCATCTTTCCCTTTGTATGCCGGGACTTGGCAAGAGGCAGGCCCTTTTTCACTGCTATATGAGGTAGGCGTGCTGGAAACAGTAGCCTGTAATTATGCCCACTGCAGGTGACAGTTACAAGAGAACAGCTGTAATAATTTTAGTGCCTGATCTGATGTTTTCTGGGGAGAGCACCCCCCCCCCCCCCGGGCCGGTTTCCCACCTCCATGTCTCTCCCTTGCATGCTTAGCTCCTTGCTACTTTCTGCATCCCGAAGTGCTTTTCCTGGTGATCGGCCTCAACTTTTGCCTTCTCCATCTCTTTATTCATGGCAGGAAAAGGCCCATTTTGGCTGTTTGTGTGTGTTGG